TTATTGTTATCAGAGGTTATTTATTTTGTAAAATGTAAAGTGCCCTTGTTCCCCCATGCTTGTGCACAAAGGCAAACACAAGTGTCGGCCTCATATGCATATGTAAACATCAATTGCACCACACATGTGAGGTATGTCCGCAAACGTCAGATTGAGGGCAGTAGTTCTAGCACCAGATCTCCTGTGTAAATCTAAAGTGGTAACTGTAAATGCTTTTAAAGTGTCTCCGATGAATAATACAATGTACATAGTTTGTCGTCATTGCGTGGGCGTGTGCAATTTTAAAGAATGACATGTTTGGTAGGTATTTACTCGACATAAGATCATCGTTTATATTTTGCCAAACAATTGGGTTTTTATTGAATTTTTGTGCATTAAAATTCAAAAAGTGTATTTTTTTCCATAAAATTGTGTTTGAAAAACTGCTGTGCAAATACCGTGAAATATAAAATATCGCAACAGCCAACCTTTTATTCTCTAGGGTCTCTGCTTTTAAAAATATATATATAATGTTTGAGTGTTCTAAGTAAGTTTCTAGCGAAAAAAATACTGATTTTTCCAGACAACAAGTGTCAGAAAAGGCCTGGTCTTCAAGCGGTTAAATACAGGTCACAGTTCATTTGTACTAAACGTTGCAGGCTTGTGTTATCACTTTCTGACTGCTGTGAAATGGATTATAAGGAAGCTCCTGCTTCATGATTATACAGACAGTTCCCTTGGACAGAGAGTTTTCTTAGTAATCCCCATTGCTCACGATCTTCCTTAGTAATCCGTTGAACTGGGGTATGTTTTGACCTGCTGTTACATAGCCCTTGATGGTCTGTGCTATTCAGAAGCCAAGACCAGTGGGAAAATGCTAATTTGCGTAAATTAATTTTTCTGTTTTTGCAGAGGGCCTACTTTTCAGATGTTTTATGTGTTCTGGTATTCATTTGCACATCCCTTAAACTGTAAATCACTTCCAATATGCAGACTTCTGTAGATGTCTATGGGGTTTCAAATTGCTGTAGGTTTGTATGAACATGAGTGCAATAATTTAGGCTTGTTACCCTAAAACACTGCTGCTACTAGACAAGTGGGTAAAAAAGGACACACTCCCCTTGGTAGCTACTTGTCCAGAGTTCCTTCACATGCTCCAATAGGACTGCAATTAGACAATAGTCTTCTTGGCCTTGCAGCTCTCTACAGACAGGGAAACATTTCAAGCCACACTAACCCCTGGTTCACATATCCGCATTCCTGCGGTCCACATTTTGCACGGGCACAAGAGCCCATTCATTTGAATGGACTCCCGTGCCCCGGGACACGCAGGGAAGAATTCCCTGCACTTCTTCTGAAAACGCAGCCTGTACGGAAACCTCGGTTCCCAGTACGGTTGCGATTTCCAGTGTGGGCGGCATGCCAGTAGAATTAATGGCACCCGCCCGTGGGTCCACATTCCTCTGTGCGGGTGGTGCAGATGCACAGATTTTTGTGCGGATCCACAGCGGAACCACCCGCACAGATGTGAACCTAGCCTAATAAACAAAAGAGGTAGTACTGGCCTTGTACAGAATCTTCAATTAACTTTATTAACCACTTGAACTCCAGAAGATTGTACCCACGTCATGACCAAGCCATTTTTTGCTTTAACGAACTGTAGTACTTTAGCTGGTAGATGCGCAGTCATGCAATGTAAGCAAAAATGTATATAATTTTTTTTCACACAAATAGAGCTTTATTTTGGTGTTATTTGATCACCACTTTTTTTTTTGGGGGGGGGGTTGCGATATAAACAAAAAAAGAATATAAAAGTTTGGGGAAAAAAACAATATTTTTTACTTTCTCTTATAAAACATATCCAATAAAAAAATAAAAAAAAAATTCTTCATAATTGTTATCCAAAATGTATTCTGCTAAAACAAAATATCCCAAGAAGTGTATATTGATTGGTTTGCATGAAAATTATAGCGCCTACAATCTATGGTGTGTATATATACTGGAATTTTTATTTATTTTATACTACTAATTTTATTTATTTCAGGTACTTATATAGCACTGTCAATTTACGCAGCACTTTACATATATATATAGTACATTCACATCAGTCCCTAACCCTCAAGGGGCATACAATCTAAAGTCCCTAATTCACATTCATACATACACATATTAGGGCCAATTTAGACAGGATCCAATTAACCTACCAGCATGTCTTTGGAGTGTGGGAGAAAACCAGAGTACCCGGAGGAAACCCATGCAAGCACAGGGAGAATATGCAAACTCCATGCAGGAGGCGCCATGGTGAGGAATCAAACCCATGACCCATTTACTGCAAGGCAGATGTGCTAACCACTAAGCCACTGTGCTGACCTAATGGTGGTGATCAGGGACTGTGGTAGTGCGGTGGACAATTTGACACTAACTGCCACTGACATCACATTAATACAGTGATCAGTGATATTACTGTAGCACTATACCCTTAGGAGTCGCTGAAGTTTGGGTCCCCCTATAGTCCTGTACAGCCAGGTAACACACATTTCCTCATTCAGACTTGCTCTAGGAGATAATAATCAGTCTTTGAGCTTGTTTGTGAGGTTTTATTGGGGTATTTTAGAACTTGGATAGGGTAAGGGGTGTATGGGATGCCCAAGGGTAGCTTGAAAATCAGCATGTAAAATACACAATCTGTCCAGATATAGAGCTTTCTAATCTCTGGATACAAATGACTAACTGTAGGACCTGTAAAGCAAACCGCTGTCACTGGCTTAGCTATTCATAATGCTGATGCGTTTCAAGGGCCAGGCCATCTTCCCTAGAACAGCTGTTAAAGCAGAGCTCCACCCAAAAGGGGAAGTTCTGCTTTAAAGACTGGTCCGCCACTCCCCATTAAGGATTGACACCTCTGGGTACTGGAAATTGGCAGGTACCTGCTCCCACTTTCACTGCGATTTACTACATGATCAGAAGTGGAAGTTGTCCTCCTACCCTCCCTCCCCTTAGTCTTCTGGGACACTTGACAGGTCCCAAAAGATGACGGAGCCATTCAGTAAGCTCAGAGCTACTTGCGCATGCGCAGTGGGCACCCGGCAGTGAAGCCTCAAGCTGTCACAGCCAGGTGCCCACACTGAACATGCCAGCGCCTGATTCGTGGGACAGTTTTTGTAGCTGCGGACTTTTATTTTTTCACAGTGCGACTGGAGCTCCACTTTAATTTGACTTTGCCAGTGAGAAACATACAACAGAAGTAGGGGATGACATTGCTGGCCTCCTTCAGGAAATCCTATTTTACCTGTTATTCTACCTCTCCACCTATTGAGATATGAATGTCACACAGGAGCACAGGTGCATTGCTTTTAATGAGTCAGCCGACCTATAGACCTATATTGTGAGTAGGAGTAGTAAAGCTTAGTAGTAAAGCTTACCCAACATATAGCACTACAAAGCCATAAACAGAGTCGGATTATATAATGAGCAAATATGGCAGATCCTCTATATAATTAAAAACTTTACAGAAAAAAGGATTTTTAAAAATGATCATGTGTTAAAAGGATGAATTCCATCCAGCTGACCTTTTTTCTTTGTATATAAAAAAAAATGAAAAGACTATACATTTCTTTTTAAAAAATGACATCGTTGGGATATCTCTGATATAGTGTGACACATTTGTTCAGTAGGGATCTTGTCATATCTCTAGAACAAAAGCACTGTTATCGCAGAGAGATTTGTTCAGAATGTTTGGTAAAGCCAGCGTTTGATATTTAAGCCAGAGGGCTGCTTTCCATTGGGATATACTGTGGAAATTTTATAGAGTTTCAGGAAAACAAGTAATTTGGCACCATTCACAGGGAAAATGAAGGGTAGTGGAATATGGGCAGATAATAATTACTTCTACAAAACAGGTTTTTTCTGTTCTTTAGAGATAATAGCACTGCACATTTCACTCTGAGTGATAGAAGTGATGTGAAGAAAAAAAAATAAAGTTTATTATGCTTTGTAGAACCAAAAGATGTGATGAAAGCTTCAGGCATGACTACAGCATTCAGTTGGCACAAGACAACTAAAAAGTGGAACTGAAATAAAAAAAGTGAAGATTTGCTTTATTATAGGGAAAGTTTGATGCGTTAATTGTTCCTATGCTGTACCCTGAAAAGTGTACTTTGCCTAGAATTCCTAATGAAAAATTCCAGTACTTACTGGTATGTGAGAATGCTTGGGCACCTATGCACAGAGCTTCATATCTGCAGTGTGAGATCTAAAGCACTGCTGTCTTTGAGTGCTTGTCTTGTGAGATTTTGGCTCCATGCACACTATCGTTTTTTTAAGCGCAAAAACCGCTGGAAAAAAAACGCTGGATAAAAGAACACTGGTAATAGTGGTTTTTAGTAGCATTTTTGTAGTGTTTAACCACTTGCCTACAGGGCATTTATACCCCCTTCCTGCCCACGCCAACTCTCAGCTTTCAGCGCTGTCGCACTTTGACAATTGCGCGGTCATGCAACATTGCACGCATATGAAATTTATATAATTTTATTGAGACAGATAGAGCTTTCTTTTGGTGGTATTCAATCACCTCTAGGTTTTTTATTTCTTGCTAAACAAACCAAAAACTACTGAAAATTTTGAAAAAAGAATGTTTTTTTCTTAGTTTCTGTTATAAAATTTTGTAAATAAGTGATTCTTCTCCTTCACTGATGTGCACTAATGAGGCTGGACTGATGGGCACTGATAGGCCGCACTGATGGGCACTGATAGGCGCCACTGGTAGGTTGCACTGATGGGCATTGATATGTATAAACTGATGGGCACTGAAAGGCAGCACTCATATATGGCACTGATAGGCAGCACTGACTGGCACTGTTAGGTGGCACTGACTGGCACTGTTAGTCGGCACTGATAAGCAGCAATGATGGGCACTGATAGTCGGCACTGACTGGCACTAATTGGCAGCACCGATAGGTGGCATGGACTGCCGCTGATAGGCAGCACTGACTGGCACTGATAGGTGGCACTGATTGGCAGCACTGATAGGTGGCACTGATTGACATTGATAGGTGGCACTGACTGGCACTGATAGGTACCACTGAAAGGCAGCTCAGATGGGCACTGATATGTGGCATTTGTGTACTGGTAGGCACTGATATGTGGCATTGGTGTGGCACTGATGGGCACTGGCAGGTGGCATTGATGAGCACTGACAGCTGGCATTGAGGGACACTGACAGGTGACACTGATGGGGCTACACTGATCATCAGGGCACACTGATCATCAGTGCCCTGAGGATCAGTGTACATGTCCCCTCTGAGGAATGCCGATTACCGGCTCTCCTCTTCTCACGAGCTGTCAGCGTGACGGCTTGTGAGGAGAGAAATGCCGATAACTGGCATTTCTTTATTTACATGTGATCAGCTGTGATTGGACACAGCTGATCACATGACAGAGCCGACATCTTCAGCTCAGGGGCGGACTGACTATTCGAGCATTCGAGGGCCCGGGGTCAGTAGGGGCCCCATGAAATGCCCCTGGTACTTTTTTTAATAGGCTTTTTTGGGTGAACTTTGAGTGTGGGGAAGGACACAGGGGCCCCATGATCCCCTATTGCCCAGGGGCCCCATGAGTTGTCAGTTCGCCCCTGCTTCAGCTCTTTCCATTGATCGGTGATCCACTGTGTCCGAGGGACACAGCGCACTACCGATCACCGTGCTGCGCGCGCCCTGAAGCCACGCACGCGCGGTTAGAGTGGGAGGGTGTCATATGATGACCTCCCAGAACGAGAGAACCACCTTGTGCCTGTAATTTCCTTATATGGAGGGTGGAAGGCAGTTAAAGTCATTTAGGAGAGTTAGCATTTTATTAGCAACAGTACATGCAAAAAGCTAGAAAAAAAGCTGTTAATATTATGTTAGTAGCATGTAGGTACGTTTTAGTGCTTTTTTTTTTTCTGAAAAACACTCCAAAAAAATCTACAAAAATGTTTTATTTCTGCTCCTAGATGCTGATGCTCAAAAACACTAATACAAAGAAGTGTGCATTAACACATAGGATAATTTATCATCTTCTAGCAGCAGAAAAAAAATTCTGATAACTTCTAAGAATGTGCATGGAGCCCAAGAGAGAAATTTGGTGATGTCAATACTGTAGTGCTCACTGTACTTCTGGCTGGAGGTTCTGACATGAGGAAGCAAAGCCCTGCCTCTATTAAGATGGCTGCCTCCACACAAGGACACAGCGCAAAAAAGGTATGGTAAGTCAGTCATGGGGGAAAGATCAGCTGTAGGTGGACCACAGACAATACTATTGACTAATCTTTCTCCTGCTCCTTGCCTTTTTTGAGCAAAAGTTCCTCCTTTAAAGTGGCTGCAAAAGCTATATTACAAAAAAAAGAATGTTATACTTGCCAGTTCTTTGTAATGGTACCAAACAGAATGGCCTCAAACCTAATCTTCTGGGGTCCCCCGCCGACGTTCTTGGCTCCTCCTGTCCTCTGTTCGCCCCCATAGGAGGCTGCTTTCTATTGTGGTGCATATGCAGTCAAATGTAGCATGGCTGTACCCTGCCCCCAGTCCCTCCTCACAGTTTTTGATTGACAGCAGCAGGAGTCACTGGTTCTGAGCCAGTGAGAGAAGAGAGAATGTACCAGTGCTGCTGCATATGGGCACAGTGCTGAATTGATACCGGCAAGGGGCCACATCTGGCCTTCGGCCGCAGTTTGGAGACCACTGCCCTAGACAAAAGCAAGCAGTTAACATGTGCATTGTGGGCAAAGCCCCACTACCTAGGTAAACTTTTTTTTTGTTTTTTGCCTGTTCACTGAAAACATTTTCTTTTAGTTTTAGTTATTTGGGGTTCCCCTAGAGAGTTTTTTCTCATCTCTTAGGCCCCTTTCACACAGGGTGGACCCACCAGCGAATCCGCTTGCTTAGCAGGTGATCTCTCTGCTGATCCCCACTGAGCAAGCGGATGACAGGTCCGTGTCCGCTCCGCTGCTACAAAGCGGGCACAGACACAGCATGCTGTCCTCTATAGGCGGTCGGATGGAAACAGACCACCTGTCCGTTTCCATCCGACTGCCAACCAATCTGATCCGTTGGAGGGAAGGGGAATGGGTCTCTTTTTGGTGGATCAGATCGGATTGGATGTCGCTCCATAGAGGAGAACAGAGGTTTCCGATCAGGACCACCTGAAAAATGGGCAGGCAGACCCGATCGGAACGTCCTTTACTGTTCAGATGGAGACGGTTTTACCAGACAGGTAGTCAAGGAAAATTCCCAAGAGCAACACAGGCAAAAACACTTTTTTTTTATTCAATAGAATAGGGGGACGATAAAACCTCTGTCGACTTGTAACTGCTGACTGTATACCTGTTGAAGATTTTCCCTCACTCCTGTATGGAGTGAATCTCAAAAATGAAAAGGTTTATTGAGGTTCACATGCATAAAGTCTTCTCAGATAAAGTGCAAAAAGAAAGCATATTCACTGATATTTTGGAGCCATGCTAGATCCCTTTTTCAAGGTGACAGACACTTTATGCATGTGAACCTGAAAAAAAACTTTTTTTAAGGTGCATTTTTGGTGTGTTGGCCATTTATTGCAATAACTATAATACAGTATCACCATTGGCTGTGATAAACATCTGAGAGCACAGAAAGGTCCAGTTCTGGATGGATTGGACTGCAGTGGTACCAATTAAAAACTTAAATTAAATTGAGCACTGTCCTTACACCTAAAGTGGAACTTATCCTGTAAGACCGAATATTCATTTTTGGGGCCCTAAGTATGCTCAGAATTATTTGCATATTATGGAAAACTTGCCTAGCAAAGTGATCCTTTAAAGTACAGAGCTTCCTTCCATCACCAGAGCCTCCATCTTCTGCTGGTCTTCTTCCAGGTTTGATATATATAGCACTGCACTGATAACTTTGAAATAAACATGTTATTACAGTGATATACAGTAGAGGCCATCATTGCTAACCTCTTTCTAAAAATTCTAGTTGCTTGGTTGTGTCAGACTTCAATCCTTTTTTCGTATTCATATATTTTAATAAATTGAGCATCACAAAAGCCATCTCATGTAACATCACAACTATCATAAATAAAGAATGCTTCCAAGCAGGGAGTGGTACATTATCAAGTGCCATTAACATGTCAAAACAAATGACAACTGAACACAATAGGCGAATCCACTTATGAACAAAGATAGTCTGTCAAATGATGACAGCTAGAGTAGAAGCTGAAAAAGATAAAGAGCTGACGTTTGGATGGCCCACCCCAGCCATGGCCCAGGTGAAAACTAGAACCTAGCTAAGAATTATTCCTGCAATGTTTCAATAAACAAAAAAAAGGGTAGAGAAGAAGTGGGGGAAGAATGGGGGGGCTAAAAGGAGAAGAATGGTTCCATGATTGAACTGGCCACGGTCCCAAGAGCACAGTCAGTTGACAAGAATAACAGGACAGCTAAGGCTCCATAAGGGAGGCATCAATATTAGGGAGCACAAATCTATCGACCCAAGGTTGCCAGATTTTGGAGTATTGATTCACCTTGCCCTGGAGTGTTGCCTCTAACTTGGCGTGTATCATTGCCTGGGTGACTCTGTTTTTTTATAGTGACCACACTAAGTACCGGCCTCTTCCAGGCTTTGGCTATTGTCTGCAGGGGTGATGGAGAAGAGGAAGTTGCATTGATTCCTGGTCAGCTCCAAGGGATTAAAGTTCAGCATGGCTATTCGTGGATCGGTTGAAATTGATTTGTGAAATATCAAAGACAGGAAGAAGAAAATGTCTCCCAGTAAACCTGTACAATGGGACAGGACCACATGTATGTAGATATGTGCCTGACTGCCCGCAACCCCAAAAACAGGTGGATGGGTAGCACTGGACATATTTGACTATCCTATGAGGCACTAGATACGAGAAAGATAAGACTTTATAAGATGTCTACAAAGCAACAACATTTGGAGAAACCTTACCTGTTGTCTGACAAATCTCCGACCAATCCTCTGGGGAAAGGTCTGACTTCAGTACTATTTTAATTTAAAAACCTATACAAGTATCAGATCTAGAGCTCTCTGACTTCACTTGTTGCATACATAAAGCCAGAAATACACAATTATAGTGAGGCAAATTAGATTTTCAAAAGGAGGCCAGAAACGGCAGCCTCCATATTTCTGTTCTGGCATAATTCCGGTGGGGACCTGCCTGTCATGAACGAGAGCCACAGTGCCAACACTAGGTTATTCTGCCGGCTTTGTTCAGCTTTTATGCACAGCTTTGCCATGTCATATTCATTAAGCCCATTGTGCTTAATGCAAAGCCCATACACTGAGAAGAACTCATTTTTATGTACTGATGGGTACAATGCTTTGAGTTGCCCCAGTAATTAAAAGCATGTTAGTTGACAACAGGTCATATTCTGAAAGACAGCTGATGGCATCTCACATTTTGGTTTCTCTACAATAGTAATTTACACAATTTAATTGCCAGGTTATAGTATGGGGGTACACAAACACTGGTGCATGAACAACCATGGTCAGGCATCTATGCTGGTTGGGGGACAGCTGTCTTTATACTACCCCCACTGTAATACATTCAGCATAGAGTGCACTAAACAGAGAGGTACTGTCAGATGACCCCCATGGTCCTCTACTATAAAGCTGTTACGGGAAGCTAGTAAGGGCCATAGAAAACAGCAGTGGCACTTTCCCCAAGCACCTGTTTTTGGTCTTGTGACATTACAGATAATAGATGGACAAGTTCAGGGATTGATTGGGAAAACATTAAGCCTAGTATGTATGATCAGAAAATTGGTTGAAAAATACTGCTTTTGAAGCAATCGTATGATAATTTAGTTGTTAGTACATATCTTTCATCCAACATTTTTTGAAAGGAAAAGCACAAAAATGTTTCTCGTATGATACCAGATCGTACAATTTTCGTTTAATCAGCACAGTGCTCATCTGGAAATACAATACAAATATATTGCATCACTTCCAAATTTTCTTTCCATCGTACAAGAATTGTCATGACTTTTGTAACCTGTTAACTTTCAATATGAGACTAGCATGCAAAACAAAAAAAAAACAACAGACAATCATTCGTCCAATATTTTTATTGTGTGTACAGGGCTTTGATGCCATCAGCAGCAGATTTTCTTTGAAGTGCTGCAGTTAAGGAAAATGAAGGTTCATCTGACAGCACCACTCCTCTGTCCATGTTCTGCATTGAAAGTGCTAATGTAGGACACATAAAGCATGTCCTTCTCCATGATTAGCATTGGGGCACATAGGTCTATAGCTGTGCCATTGTCAATATTAGCGAATGTGATAGCAACGTGTCTATTTTATTAAGCCCTTTCAAATTCAGAACTCTCTAAATGTAATACCATTTTTTAATTTAGAGTACAAACGTAATAGGTGTCTGCTAGACTATTCCAGTCCTCTGTA